TCTCCGTCAAGATGGGGAATATTCCTTCCGACTATTCTAAGGTCTTCTATAATTGCATCATATTCTACGACATATGACTTCATCATATAAAAATCCATTTCGTTTCCCTTTGATCTGATCGAGAATAATGATTCAACTTGCCTAGCATCAAGAATTCAGAAACTTTCCGAATCCAGCATTTTAGAAAGTCTCACCCATGGGTGTGAGTTCTTTGTCATTGAGGTAAGCTTGTCTTCCCGATTTGATTGAACCTCACTCTTATGCCATTCAACGTCCATTCACGGATTCAATGCCGGAAAGATCGCCCTTACCATTAAGCCAACTCCTCTGCCATTCAATCCCGGATAGACTGATCCTTCTTTCCTGGTTCTTCTTTCATTTCTCTAGGCTCCTAGTCTACGGCTGCTAGATTAGAAGGATCAGAAAAGTGCATAAGAAAAGGTCAGCTTCAGATTCAGACTCTGATTCGGATTCGGCTAATGGTGGAATAAGAAGACCTAAATCAGATCTTCCCTTGCTATTTGGAAGCGATACATCGTGAACCTCATCATAATCCAGTTATTCCCCTATCCCCTAGGGGAAGGAACCACTAAATCAAAGTAGCTCGGGCGAAATTCCTCAAAGAAAGGACCGGTTCCGAAAGCAATAAAAATTTGAATTTATGGACTGAGTTCTCAAATGTCATGCCACCGCAACTACTGAGAGCTCTTCCTCCCCGAAGGCTATTGATCACCAAATTGAGTTGGTTTCAGGTGCACGGCCCCCCACTAAAGGACCTTACAGAATGGCTCCCGTCAAACTAAAAGAACTTTGAAAGCTATTAAAGGAATACATACCCAATTCCGCTGGTGGCTGACTTGTTCGATCGCTTGGGTAAGGCCACTTATTTCACCAAGTTGGACTTACGCTCCGGGTACTGTCAAGTCAGAATAGCAGCTAGAGATGAGCCAAAGACTACTATGTTACTCGATAGGGTGCATTTAAGTATAGCGTTATACCCTTTGGCCTGACCAATGCTTCTATCACTTTTTTTGTAATTTGATGAATTTTCTTTTTCGCTCTACATTGAACCTTTTGTTGTTGTTTACCTCGATGACATCGTGGTATACAGCCAAACCCTTTAAGAGCATGTGGAACATTTAAGATTAGTCCTGGCTAAGCTCCATGAGCATGAATTGTATTTGAAATAGGAAAAATATAGCTTCACTCATACAAAGATTACATTTTTGAGACATCGTATTGGGCACGGACAAGTTGCCAAAAAGAAAAGTCAAGGCTATTCTTGAGTGGCCTACGCCCACTAAGGTCACTGAATTGAGATCTTTCTTGGGTTTGGCAAACTATTATCGGCATTTTATTGGTTATTAGAAGAAAGTCGTAGTATTAACAAACTTATTGAAGAAAGACCAGAACCTTTTCTGGTTTTCTGATTGTCAAATGACGTTTGACAAGCTGAAAAGAGCACTAGCGAGCAAACCAATGCTAAAATAGCCTGAATTTGATCAACCATTCAAGGTAGAAACGAATGCTTCCAATCGGACTAATAGGGGTGTCCTAGTGCAAGAAGATCATCCGGTGGCTTTCAAAAGTTGAAAATTTAATGAGACGGAACAACATTTTACTGTTCAAGAAAAGGAAATGACTGGTTTAGTTCATTGCTTGCGACTTTGGAGACATTATATATTGGGTGGAAAGTTTGAAATCCTGACAGATAATATTGCAATGAGCTACGTTGATACTCAAAATAAACTTACGCCAAAACAAGCCCGATGGCAAGAGCTTTTGGCAGAGTTTGATTTGACTTTGAAATATAAACCAGGCAAGATCAATGTAGTAGTGATGCTCACAAGAGGTTTTTATTCAAGTGTTTCAATCTTCGCCATTGGTACAGGTTGAAGGCGATATCTTCCAACAGATTAGGGCTGAAACTGAGAAAGATGTGGTGACCTCCTGTCTTCTAAAGCAAGTGAGAGAGGGAGTCACTCGGCGATTTTGGGTAGAGGACAGAGTCCTTTATGCTAAAGGCCAACGACCTTACGTCCCCAACAATTATGAGTTGAGATGTAGTAAACCTCTGTGCGAGAATCAGGATACCCCATAGGCAGGGCATCCGGGCCAGCAACGGACCCTAGCTCTCCTTTCCTGAAGTTTTTATTGGCCTAACATGGAGAATGATTTTGAACAGTTTGTACAAACCTGTCTTCTTTGTCAGTAGGATGGAGTTCAGTGGCAGAAGACTACCGACTTGTTGAAACTATTCTTCAAGAATGTTGTAAACTATTCCCCGCCCCAATTACATCTACTGTCGAGGTGGCTACGAATCTATTCTTCAAGAATGTTGTAAAGTACTGGGGAATACCCACGGATGTGGTGAGTTATCGGGATGCTCAATTCACATGACCTTTTTGTTTGAGTTAATGGGAACTAAACTCAACTTCTCTACGACTAACCATCCTCAAACTGATAGGCAGACAGAACGTGTGAATGGTCTCTTAAGAGGGGTTCTTTTTTCAAGTCATTCTTTCTTTCCATTCTTCTTCTCTCACTAACACGCATCATAAGTTCACTCAATCCCATGTAGAGTAGAGATGAGCGAGCATAGCATGACCAAGGTAGCTTGCTAACTCTCGTCATTTGTCAATTGAGCCACAAGAATGTAAAAATATCAAAGTCTCCACAAAGAGTGATTGCAGAACACGATCCACGAGAGGAAGCACATCATAAACACCCAATGCTCCTTTACAAGACACATCAGGATTTTCTTCATTCAAAGCGCAGGTCAAAACAAGCTACGATAGGTTCTAATCCAACCAAAAAAATGAAAAGAAAATCCGACTTGGTCTCCTATCGTCGTTTCGCTTTGGTCGTATCTATACCTTGTTAGGTAACTTTGTTATTTTCTATCTCAACAGTACGTTTGACTTATATGTGTTAAGTATATAGCTAGAATTCTTTCAAAGTCAGGATCAAACTCTTCTTTTATGTTCTGCCTCTTGATTCCCCAATCAAAACCAGCTAGCGTTTGTTCGAAGCCAACAAACACTGTGGGGACAGAATATGTCTTAAGAACATAGTATAAATTACTATCATTGATTAAATTTAGTAATAGTTCATGTATGGCAGTCGAGTAAGTTTATCTATTTTACTATTTTGGTACATGACTTATATCATAAATATTATTAAGTAATGTATGTATATGATACATCCTCACCACATAGTGTAGTGAAAAAAAAATATATGGCAGATTGACTGATATTGATTCTAGTTAATGAAAAAGCACAATGCAAAAAAGAAAAAAAATGCATGGTGGATCATTGAAACAATTCAAATTTCTTTAATAAAAATCAATTTGACCATGTTATTATTTTAGATTTTATATCTAACCAAATGATGAATGACTCTTAAAGGTTCACAGAAACTATTGTTGGTAGATGAAAATTACCTCCAAAACAAAAAGAGTAAAGTCAAATTCATTTGGGGAGAGAAAAGGTATTTGCTTAGAGTACCCCTCGTAACAAAAAGAGGAGCAAGGATCAAAAAAAATTCTTTGAAAATTATCGAAACGTATTTCAAGATATTTTGTAATATTTTAATAAATTTACACAATTGTTTTAGAATATTTTAAGATATTTTATTATATTTTGACAAATATTTTGAAAAAATAATTTTAAATATTTTTATTCTTTTTATTCTGTTTCTGAAACTGGTCAAAATTGAAATTCTAATACTCCAATGTATTTTATAATATTTCGAGATACTTTGTAATATTTCAATCCATTTGCACAATTGTTTTAGAATATTTCAAGATATTTTATTATATTTTGACAAATATTTTGAAAAAATAATTTTAAATTTTTTTATTCTTTTCATTCTGTTTCTGAAACCGATCGAAATATTTTTATTTTTTAAATGATCAAAATGATACATCAAAACAAAAAACAAAATTTTGACCCTAGAAGGGGAGAACCTTTCTCTTTGAAGATCAATATGACTCAATCGATTCCCATTTGATTTAATATCTTTTAATTTACTTTTTCATTGTGTCAAATTCGAGTCCTCACCCACAACAGTCCAAAAAGAGTGGACATTTTCTTTTGGGGATCAATATGACCGGATGGATTCTAATTTGATTTAATACCTTCTAATTTACCGTTTCATTGAGTCAAATTTGAGTCATCCAAAATATCATTAGCAAGTTTTTTTCTCCTCACCCAAAATGACCCAAAAAGGGTGGACCTTTTCCTTTGGGTATCAATATCACTAGACCGATTCCCACTTGATTTAGTACATTTTAATTTACCTTTTCATTGAGTTAAATTCAAGTCATCTAAAATATTATTAGCAAGTTTTTTTCTTCTCACCCACTATGGCCCAAAAAAAGTAGTACCTTTTTCTTTTGGGATCTATATGATTCGATTGATTCCCATTTTATTTTTTATTTTTGCATGGAGCATCGCCCAAATTGATTCCCATTAAATTTAGTAACTTTTAATTACGAGTCAAATTCGAGTGTATCTAAAATATCATTAGCAAATTGGCTGAGATACCACAGAGAAGGGTGATCTAGTGGTACTGGTTTTCCTCTTCGTCCAGAGATATGGAGAATTCAAGTTTTAAAATCTTTATTCGAGCTTAATAGACCAATATGCTAACTAAGTTAGATTTGATCCCGAAAAGTGTTTGAGACATGATAAAAAACCTTATGATCTCTAAGAGCCTATCAGAGCGGTCGCTGAACACTTTTTCTTACTCTCACCCTTGTTTTAATCAGATTAAAAAAAAAAAGCAAATTGGCCGACACGGTTTTGCAATAGCAGGGTCGGGGGGGAGAGAGAGAGAGGGAGAGAGAATTGATGAAAATATTACAAAAACAGACAATGTCGCCTGCAAGATGGATCTAAAGATGGATCTAAATGGCCGACCACATAGTTTCTTAGAATTGCATAGTACATGCTAAGTCAAAGACTCAAATATTAAAATGCGTTTTCGCAAACTCTTCGCTAGAGGTTGTAGACAACCACATTGGCGGCGCCGTTGGCCGGAGAGAAAGCCAAGAACATGAGAAGGGCCATTATCCCCACCGGAAACAGCATCAGCAACATCGGCGGAGGCGGCAATGGTGGCAGTATAGGCGGCAACACCAGTAGCGAAGCCGTCAGAATCGCCAGCACCACCACCCACTTGACACTGAAACACTTCACCATTAAAAAGAGCTCTCTCTTCTCACTGACCTCGTCGGAGCTCTGACCATCTCTTTCCCCGGCGACAACTCCTCCAATTTCAAACAAGTAATTAAGAAAATGAAGCAAAAACCAAAATTCCCAAACAAGAATGCTGGGTTCTATGGATGCAAAGGGAAAGCAATACAGCTTCGTCAATGTATATTGTTGAATTGTCGTTAACTATTTATATACGAGTAATAACGCTAATTTTCCGCTTGATAGGGTAGAAAAATTGGATGGTTGAAAAGTTAGAAAGATTAATAATCAGTAATATTACACTGATTAAATTTTAAAATTAAATTTAAAACTCAAATAATATGAGAGTGGACTTGAATTTCTTTATTTTGTGTCATGTTATTTGAGCTCAATGTATTTCTAATCTTTATTCAAATTTAAATTTAAATATATAAAATTTATTTCAACTATTGACTCAAATTTATACTAAATCAAGAGAAACTCTTTTTTTTATTCAAATTAAGGGAAATTTAAATCGTTAATGATAATATTTTAACATCTTTTAAAAATTTAATAGTCATCTTTACTTCCTTTTTAAATTTGAGTTTGTCATCGTTTGAATTTGGGTGTCTTTTTCTTTAAATTTGAGTCTTTTCATTGAATTTTTTTAAATCAAGCTTTTTACTCAAATATTAATTTAAATTTGAGTAAAAATTTGAATCATGGTTGGAGATACTCTAAAGACTCCAAATAATATATTATCATGTTATTTGGGTTCCAAATTTAGTCCCAAAATTTAGTCAGATGAAAAAGTGAATAAATGAACTTTTCTTCTAACTCATCAAAATTAATTTCTTCAAAATCACAAAGAAAGTTGATGAAAATTTAATTATTTATTTTAAAATGTATCTTTTTTGTCTATATATCTTTTGATATATACATATATTATGTGTATATTAATGTTATATATAAATACAATGATAAAATATATATTTATATTTTTTAAAATAAATAAAAATAAAAATAAAAAAATATTTTTTCCATCTTAGATAGGGGTAGAAATTTTTGACTTAATACGACGTCACGACTCGAACTCAACGTGAATTTTATAACACAAACTTTCTTATAACTTGACACGAACTTAAAAATTAACAGGTCAACTCGACGCGACACGATTAATCAAATAAATTGAGTTAGGTTTAACTAATATTCGATACGAACCCGCAATGATTTGACACAAACTTGACACAACACAACACAATTGTCAACCGTAATCTTAACGAGCACAAAAAAAAAAATTAATTATTTTTATTTTTCATCCATCCTACCAAACACAAAGGAAAAAAAGTATTTTATTCTTACTTTACTTCATTGAAGGAAAAAAAAATGTATCTCTCCTACTTTCTATTTTTTCCACGAAACGGAACATAAAGATAGCTCAAGTGGTATAAGAACAATGTGTAAATTCAAATTTCATCGGTTCAAAATTTGACAACTTGTTGGAGTAAGGTCACGCCTTACGAAGAATTTATCCCTCATAAATACTCTAATTTCGACGTGGATGATCTGTGTTTGACCATATCGGAGAGGAATTAGTCTAGGTGCTCAGAAAAAGATTAGTTGAGGTGCGCGTAAGTTAACCTAAATACCCTTGGTTATTGAACTAAAAAAATAAAAAATTGTATACGAGGATTGTTATATGCCTAAATATCTTACTTTATCAATTTACTTAATAATAAGATTTTATAATAATCATTGCATTAACATTAAATTTTAATATTTTATGAGATCCACAATAACTCTAAGGAATATAATAAATTAGATCAATAAATTATATTCAAATAGTTTTGCTCTATACATACATGTGAATGTGATCATATGTATATATGCGTTAATGTTATTTAGAATTAATTTGTTGACATAATTTGTTAATTAAATTTAATAATTATTTATAATTATATCAATAAATTAAGATCAAATAAAAATTTTCATACATATGACTATCCATACAAGAGTGTGCTAGTAGGTGGCAATCGAGTGGAGTCGTTTCTGAGTTGGGTTATTTTTTTAATTTGTATTGAATATGAATAAATTCTAATCCAAATTATTTTATTCATTTTGTAAGATAATCTAAAAGTAACTTGAATTGTCTATTATTGAGTCACGATGTCTTATCGTATCTGAAATTTTCTAACTTCACACAAAACTTATTTGGGAGATTTATATTGTTATACTAGTTATTACCTGTGTTTGAAGGCACATAATAATAAAAAATGATAAATAATAAACATATTTGTATTCATATTTAAAATTAAATCAAAAACATAAAAAAAAATAAACAAATTTAAGTATCGATTTGTAATGAAAGTGAGAAGTGTAGGCGACAATAGTGATGGTAAGAGATGGTGATAGTTGTGATGAGTGACAATGACCGTAGTGGCGGTGGTGACAGCAACGATGGTGGTGGTGGCAACGACAATGACGACGACGACGGATGCGATGATTGTGGCGGTGGTAATGGTCGTGGTGGTGGCTGCGACGGGGGTGGTGGAGGTTGCGACAGCAATGGTGGCGGCGGCGGGGATGGCGGTGACAGTTTCAAACATTACTTTTTTTTAAAACATTTATGAAAAATAATTTTTAGAAGTACTTTTAAAAAATCATTCCAAATACACTCTTATGGACCTATTTTTTCAATTAAATTTATGGTGTTAATATTAGTCGTTAGATTAATTTTAAAGTAAAATTTAAAGTAATCTCAACGCGAATAGTAAAAGTCATTTTGTTTATCTTTTAAATTTAAATTGTAATCTACTTTATTAAATAGATTATTCGGTTGTTATCTACTTATTTATTTGATACGTCTAACAAATTATACGTTTATCATTTAAATTCACAGAACTTGTATGTGTAATATTTATAAATCAGACAGAATCGGGCACCAGAACTTAATTTATGCATCTGAGCAGATACGTTTAGGTGGGAGGGATTTTTTTAAATCATCATATCTTGAATAAAAACAATATTGGGTAAATTCTATTTTGCCCCGTAAAAAATATAAAAATTATCCGTTTGTCTCTCGAATGATTATTTTTTTCACATTGTCCCTTCAAAAAAATAAAAAACGTTCTAATGTGGTCCATTGTCTTATTTTCGTTTAATCTTCTGTCTATTTTGTATCAAATCAATCAATTAAAAATCATAAAAAAAATGACGACAAAACGGAAGTAAGATAGTGAATCACACTGAAATATTTTTATTTCTTTGAGGGGACAGTGTAAAAAAATTCATTATTCAGAAGATAAACTGAAAATTTTTATATCTTTCAGAAGACAAAATGAAATTTACCCAAAAATATTATGTCATTTCTTTGAGACATGCTCAATTTATTATTTGACATGAACTATAAAGCATGTCTTAAAGAAATGACATATTCCCACCTTAAAAATTTTAGAATTTTAAAATTTATTTTTAAAAATAAATTTTTTTACATTGTACTCTTAATATAAAAAAAAATGGTGATCATAACACTGTATGAACTTTTGTTTTTATTTTCGTTAAACGCACATGAATTTGACGAAAATAGTAACGAGTTAGTAAAATGGTTACATTGCAACTATTGAAGACTTACTTAAATCCTCTCCATTAAAATTTTTTCTCAATAATATTAGGTCCCAATCAACATAAGATAAATTATTAAATCTTAAAGAGCACATAATTATTGTGCATAATTAAACATTTAATGATTCTAAATAAATATATGCACGTGACGAAGATCACGTGGCTGGCATATGGATTATTCGGAATGTTGACAGAATAGGCTCGACCAAACGCATTCAACAAATCAATCTCAGACACATGGTAGTGTGTTCGGGAACGGTTTTGCCCTAATCGATTAAATATGCTTGATCAAATAGGTCAAACTATACCATGTCGTGTAACAATTCGGACTGAATAATCGAAGTGGATAGAATCCCACTCAACTTAACAGGGATTAAAGAAGATTATGCAATCTCGAAGAATCAAGGAATGGGACTAGGTTGATAAGGAAGTTACCAAGATTAAGGTAAACATTATCAACGTGTTCGAATAAATAGATAAATGAATAATTACTAGTAATCCGGCGCAACGTGGGGGTGTACCACTTCACATATCCAATGGCGAAAGCCCTAGTTGAAAAGGGACTGTATCACACTATAAATACCATGTAAAGTTACGCACTACTTTTCTTGTAACTAACTTTGATTGTATTCTCAATTTTTATTGACTCAAATATCGAAGTGTCCTTGATCGGTCCGCCCCGATCTTTGGTATTTGTTCATTTTATAGGAGGAGTGATGCAGCCTTTCTTATTCATTTGTTCCTAATAAAGTCATTCAATTTGTAAGAGATTTTTTAACCCTTATAAAATCTTATACCCATATTTTTTTTTGCTCATTTTTATGACATCACTATTTCCATCACAAGTTAAATTATTTAATTTTTAACTAATTTGTGGCTTAATACAATTTGTATTTCAAACATTATTCATGTAAGATATTGTACATATATTAATATTTTTTTGAGATCATGTATTCTGAGAAAAATTTATTAATTTTTTTAAAAAAATAATTGGTAGAAATTAATTTTAAGTTATATGATTAAAGAAAGAGAAGGAAAGAAAAATTATTATTTTATACAGTGAGATTAATTTTTTAGATACTCAAATTTTATTGGACTTGACTATGGTATCAAAAAAAAAATCAATATCATATCTCATTTATCACATTTGCGATTGTTTTTATTATATTTGTGGAGGGTTTTTGTCACTATTGTGGTACCTAAAAATTAGTAAAAATAGTTATTACAATAGTGATAAAAATATACACAAAAATTATAAATTACTTATTAAAGTGATAAATTTTTTAATTATAAAAAAATTATAAAAATACCTTTTAAACTAATAAATTTTAGATGCATGCTACCGATTTTATTTTGTCGGTACCATAATCAAATCCCTCATTGTGGCTG